ATGCGCTCCACGGCCATGGCTGCACAGTTGCTGGGCTCCTCGTATACCATCCCTTGCAGGGGGCTCCGGATCCCATTGATGTTCCAGCTCACCACGCGCAACATCTCGACGGCGAACTGCAACACCACACAATCCGCGCCCAACCTAGGGTACACAGGACGGCTGGACACCCCCAAGGTTGGCCAGATCCCGCCTTCCGCGCGCACTGGCGCATGCGTTCTCTTGCGCGCCACCAAGGTGTGGCGAAGGTGGGGCGGGGCTTCGATCCCCTCAGTTCTCATTGGCGGGAGGAGCGGAAGTTGATGGGGTGGTGCCGACGCCTAGGAGGAATGAACGGCAAAGGAAGTCCTCCAGTTAGGCTCCTCCTCCTCCCTCCTCTCGCCGCACACTAGCCCAAGCACCAGAATCTGTCTGCCTTTCCGTGCTGCTCACAAGCCCCCGTGGTGCTTCCAATAACTTACAGATGGGACTTTTTAAGCAGCGGAACCTTGAACGAAACCGCATGGCAACCGAAGCCCCGCCCCCAGTGTGACTGACCTTACCTCCAAGTGCGCCGCTGGCATCCTGGGAGTAATTGCTGTAACTGGGCTTGTGTGGGAGAGGGGAGGCTCGAAGGGAACCGCGCAGCTAGAGGGAGCAGCAGTAAGAAGTGCTCTAGTGGAATTAGACTTAGAAGTACCCTGGCCTTATAGGGCAAAGGGAGGGGAAGAGAGGAAGCTGTCTCAAGCCCACCCTATAGCCATTATTTGTCCTAAGCCTTATAACATTCCTAAGGACATGGCCCAACACATACTTTTTCGTGGCTCCATTTCTCAAATGAGTAAAATCGAGGCCCAGGGAATTTAAGTGGGCTACCCAAGCTCCAGAGCAACACTGTCTCCCAGTGTACTCCATGGCTCTTCCATATGCATTATTTGTTTCATTCTCTGGACAACCCTGTAAGGGGTATTAAGGCTAAGTATGACAGAATGAGTGAAGTCACCCCAGTCTCACGGAAGTGGTAGAGCCAGGATTCAAAGCCTATCTTAATCAGCTCAAGGAATACTTTCCTGAATAAGTTTTTCCTAACACCCACACACCTCCCCAGTTAGGTCTTTTCCTCTGGGCCCCCACAGCACCCCCTGGTCCTTTCTGTCACATCACTTATCTCAGTGCACACCTACCATGGATATCTGTTTTTGTCACACAACTACCAGTTGCTCTACCCACTTGAGAGCAATGACCATGTCTGATGTATCTTCTTAGCGCCATCCTCTAATCTAGGGCACAGTATATATTAGGAGTCAATAAAGATTTCCTAACTGAATAAACAAACACAGGGCAAATGCAAGAGCAAGATTAGTGACTTGTTTTTGAGAACACAAAAATAGGAATAATAGACATGCCCAATGTCCAAGGAAAAGCATGACTTTGCATTCTTAGGTTCCTCACCCCAAACTGCAGCATAATTTTCCCCCAGAATTAAGCCATCATCCTCAATGTCTGTAGAAAAGACCCAAAGAGCTGCTTTTCCTCCTAAAGGACTTAAAGATTACCTTCCAGTTGTTGCCATCAGGATAAATAGCTCTGCAATTAAAGTAAAAATGTTGGTGCTTTGAGCTTTTTCATGCTTTGGTGGTTATTGGCTCAGGACTGAGTCCCAGGAGTGGGATAACTAGGACAAAGGAAATTAACATTTTTATTGCTCTTGCTTCGTATTGCCAAATCACTGTCCAGTAAGAGATCGTGCCCATTTACACTGAAGACCAACCTGCAACTCAGACCCGAGGAAATCCAGATCTAGCCTGTCTACATTGCTGGTTTTAATTTCCCCATTCTGCAGTTGCTTGTTAATATTAGTTCTGACCTTTGGGGCAAGGTGAACACATGGTTGGCCTGATGAGAAAAGGTTCCGGATGGCTCAGGAACTTCCTTGACAACTAACACAGCTGATATTTCAAGAGTGCACACATGCCCCTCTTATCAAGGGTATTTCCACAGCCTTTTCAAGGAACCAACCAGCGCCTCCAGACTCCCTCTTTGACGCCATCCCTGTACCTGCTTTGAAGGTCTAAATGCAAGAAAGCTGTGTGGTCGGATAATTAGTGATGGAAGAAAAAACCTCTAGGAGAACAGGTAGGTGAGACAGAAGGAAAAATAGATAGGGGTACACAAATCCAAATCCATTCTTTAGGCTCTCTGGAAAATTTTCTTTATATAGGGGTTACTTGAAGTGTGCCTTAAAGGGTATGGGAGAGTTGGGGGAAAGATGATATCTGTATCTAATTATCTATCTACCTATCTGTCAACCGTCCCCACCTGTCTTTGTGGGACACTGACCAAAAGGGCAGTTCCCTAGCACCTTTAGAAGTCTATCTTGATCTATTCCAGTTCTGAGTGAACTGGATGGTAGGGATTATATCTCACACCTCTCCAATGGTGTATAAAGTGGGTCTGGTTTGCTGTGGCACTTTGAACAAGATTTTCACCTTCTCTGGGCTTCAATAACCTCCTTACTAAAATGGAAATTGAAGTCCCTGGCCTACTTCCTTCAGAGGGCTGTCTCAAGATGAAGAGGAGTAGAACAGGAACCAAATCTCTGGAGATGTTTCAGGACTTCCATGCTCTCTCTGAGATTAGTGATCCTGTTTTTTTTCTGTAGCCTCTGCGGGTAATACCACCCACAGACCTCCAGCTGCTCTTCTCCTGGAGTGACTATGGTCTGTAGAGAGCCACTCCTAGGTAGGATGCAGTGAGTCTTGGGCCCCAGGCATGGGGCTGAATATAGTGGGGGGATAGTGAGCCAGGGCAGTGGCTATAAAGGAAGTGGTACCTAGGCTGCTGCCACAGAAGGCCTAATACTCATGTATCAGCACATAAACTATAAGCATGTGGCCAATGTCCCCTGTACACCCTTGTCCCCCACAAATGCATTTATACCCACACACTCCCAAGAATTACTAATAGAGATACCCCATTTGTGATTTTGTAACCCATGAGTATGGTCTTAATAATGCTTTTAATAGAATTCTTCTATGCACCCCACACTTTGGGAAGATGGTCAGGATCTGTGGGCCTCAGGAAGTCACACTCTGTGCTTTTTCTCCCTAGAGTTAACCCCATTTTAGAATTTGTGGTTCAGATCTTGGTCTTGAGTGAGTCTCAGATACTGAGTGAACTCTTTTTCTGCAACCAGTTAATTGGACTTTTTCGGGGTAGGGGACTTCATTCTTTTGTTTATTCTATTCTACCCCATTCAAGGTTGAGAAACTTTCTAGATACCACCTTCTACTTTCAGACCTAGTTAGTTTGCCCACCCAGTTCCCTGCATAGATCTCAGTTATAATATTTAACTTTCTGAATGGGGAATTATTTGTCTATATGTTCATCTCATTTAGGGCAGAGAGATAGATTGTACAAATAACTCATTGAGCAAGTGTCTCCTCTTTGCCAGCACCTGAGCTGGACACTGGAAACACTGATCTCAGATAATTGCGGTCTAGTCCCCATCCTCAAGGAACTCACAGTCTAGTAAGGAAGTACACCAGTAAAAACTGGTGGATACTTGCTCAGATAAATGGAATCACATAGACAATATGAAAACTGAAGATAATGCCTGTCCCAGGTTACAGGGAAAGTTTCCCAGAGGAGGCAACATTGAACCAGTTCTTGAAGAGTGAGTCAGATTTCATTGAGAATGGAAGGAAAGAGAAGGCATTTCAGGTAGAGCAAAGGTCCAGAGGTAAAAAAAGTATATGTTATGTTTGGGGACTCAGTGAGTCAGCCAGTGCAGTTTAAGCATGGGGGTCTAAAGAGAGACATGGCTAGAGAATTAGGTTGGGGTTTCATTTAGAACAGCCATTCTGAGACCTTTCCATAAAGCTTGTTTAGTTCTAGTTCTCCTGCTTCTAGGATCAAAGTTGGTAACAGAGGTAAACAAACAAAAACCCAGATAAACACACACATAACTACAAAAGCAAAATAAAACAACACAACAATAACAACAACAAACAACCAGCTAGCTAGTTCCAGTTCCAGGCAATTTTAACTTGGGTTTTCAAGCCTGGACCCCAGGCTTACCCTTTCAGACCTTGCCAATAGCTTGCTAGCCTCCTATCTCAGATTTCCTGTGGCTAAAATTATCTCTCTGCCTCTTGGCAGGGTCATGAGGACAAAACTATAAACATAGAAGGGGGTTCATGTGACTGGCTCAATTACCTTGGACAAGCTACTTCCCCTCCCTAGACCTTAGTTACCCTAAGAAACTAGTGAGAATGTTTGTAAGGAGCAACTAGGATATGGAATATGTTGTTACTTTGTGGGCAATAGAAAACTTACATGTAAAGGGTTATTATTAAGATTATTAGCATTGTAAATCAAAGTGAGATATTACCTTAGATCTATCAAAATGGATAAAATAAAAAACACAAGAAATAACTAGTATTGGCAAGGATGTGGGGGAAAAAAAGGAACCTTCATACACTGTTAGTGGGAATGCAAATTGATGGGACCTCTGTGAAAAACAGTATGGAGGTTCCTCAAAAAATTAAAAATAGAAATAGAAATACCATATGATCCAGCAATTCCACTACTGAGTATTTACCCAAAGAAAATTAAAATACTAACTCAAATGCACCCCTATGTTTATTGCAGCCTTATTTACAAAGCTAAGGTGCAGCCCAGGTGTCTATCAATAGATGAATGGATCTGATACATATATAGAGATACAGATACACACACACACACACACACACACACACTATACACACATACACACACACCCCTACACATATAATGGAATACTACTCAGGCATAAGAGGCATAAAGAGAAGGAGATCTTGCCATTTGCAATGACATAGATGGAGCTAGAGAGTATTATGATAAGTGAAGTAAGTCAGAGAAAGACAAATATGTGATTTCACTCATTTGTGGAATTTAAGAAGCAAACAATGAAGAATAAAGACAACACACTCTTAAACACGAGAACAAACTGGTGGTTGCAGGGCGGGGTTGATGAGGGGAGGGGTAGAATAGATAGAGGGGATTAAAAGTACACTTATCTAGATGAGTACTGAGAAATGCATAGAATTATTGAATTATTATACTGTACACCTGAAACTAATATAACACTGTATGTTAATTATACTTCAATTAAAAAAGTAACACAAAAATATACAAAATGCAATATTGCAGTGTCAGAAAAAGAAAAAAAAACAACTCAGTAGCTGGCAAAGCCAATGCTGAGGAAAAATAAAATATTAGCATTGGCAGAGTAATACTTATTAGGAGACTTATTAGGATTAAGAGAGTTGTATCTCTTGCAAAGTCTAGTTCTAAAACTCTAAAGGTTCTGAGATAATTTGGAATACCACATTCTTAAGTCAAGCTAAATTGATCAATTAACAGAAAAAGCCTTGGACTGGGAAAAACCAGGTCCTCAGTGTTCTGACTTGGGTACTTTTTGCTATAGGGCCTTAGGAAAATACTTCCCCTCTCTAGGCCTCCATTTTACCAGAGACGGTCAGGTGAAATGATTTCTAGGGCCTTCTGTATCACAAAACCAAAAAAGTAAAAGTAAATTTACCTTTCTAATTGATTGGCAGGAGCTCTTTATTATAAATATTAACCCTTTGTTATATGTTATAAATTCCCCTATTGTTTCTTGTATACCCAGCATTACATTAGAAGTTTCAGATTAGCCAAAGAGGTGATTGATCATTTACTTCACAAAGGGAATAGGTGTTAACTAGTGTATTTTGAACATTTCCCAGGTTGCTTTATGTGTATCAACACGTTGAGTTTTCAACAACTTTAAGTGGGTAGATACTCTTACCAGATGAAAAAACTGAGGCACTGTGAATTTAAGTTTTCTGCCCAGGATCTCATAATGGGGGAAGAGGTGGGATTCCATTCAGGTAGTATGGCTCCCCAGCCCATTTCTGTTAACCACTGTGATTCACTGCCTCAGTAAATTCATTTAGATGGGCAGGCTCCAAAATGTATTGAAGGTTTGGATTGATTTATACACAACTAGAGGGAATATAACCTTTGTATAGACTAGGATACTGAGAATAAACTTTTAGGGAACTTCTTAAAAGGCGAAGTGCAGCCAAGAACATTGGAGGAAAGGGATTAGAGATTTCTATACCCAAAAGCTTGTTCCTGTGTAGCCTAGTTCAATGGAAGAAAGTTGAGATTCCTTGTAGCCAATCATTGGAGGTTCATCAGGGGGTGGGAATGTTGCAAAAGAATGAAGTAAGAGTACACTTGGACATATTCCAGGTACGCTGTGTCATTACATGAGCTCTTCCCCCCAGGGGAAGGTAAAGTAGACACATCTGGGTGGGATGGCTCTGCCCTATGGACTTGTCCTACTTTGAGGTCATTGCTCCCTGCTCCCCACACTCAGCCTGCTGCAGCCTTCACCCTAAGCCTCCATCTCCTCAACTTGGTATGAAGAACTGTAGTCAGATCATGAGGCCTTTCTTCCTAGGGCACCTAATGGCAGCTGGCAGCCATGTGTGCAGTGCTTACTATCTCTCCCCACAGAAATGGCTACATTTACTTCTCTTTCCAAGGTGTCAGGTTTACTCTAATTTATTTAGCCTTGGCTGGGGAGAACATAAAGATGATCAGATGGTGCCCATCTCTCCCAAGAGTGACCCCAAGCAGCACATTTTAGGAGGGAGAGGCCCTGTGGTAGGAAAGGCAGCAGAATTCAGGGGAAGACAACCGTCGCAATAACATTTTGGGTGGGGGGAAACAGTGAGACAATGAACCTTCCACTTCCACTTCTGGTTTTTGATTGCTAGCTCAAAAGTACATTTTTCAGTAGGGATTTTGTTTGTACTTGAGAACCTTGAATTTCTGATGTGGATCTCTGTTTCTGGGTTAGAACTTGACATTATACTTGGGCCCTTTTTTTTTTTTTCAAAGCTGTGAAAGCGGCTGAGACCTGCCTCCATCACCTTTACCTTTTCCACCCCACACAGGATATAAGCACATGATCTTTGGTCTTTTATTTGCATGTTCTACTAGTCCTGTCTTCATTGGAGGGAAGTAACTGGCCAGACCTAGGCTGTCTTGCTGGCTGCCTTCCTTGCTGGGCTCCAACTTATCTCCTATGTACACAGCCCTTGGAGTTCAGAGGCCTCTGCTGACCTCTGCCCAACCTCTCTCTCTGCACCCAAGCCCCCACTGGTATATACAGGCACAGAGGCAGGCAAGTCAGGCAAGGACTAGGAAAGAGGAGAGGGGGCTGGAGACAGGCTGCCAGAGGGCTCAGAAGCCCAGTGCACCTGCCTGTCCCAACTCTGTCCACCTGCTGCTGTGGCCACATTAACAGAAGAGACAGCTAGTAAGACAGGAAGTGAGGCCCAGTACCTTGTGGACAGTGGTGTCATTAGCTGCGACACCTAAGATGTCTCAAGAGATGGGAGAGCTCACCCAAAACAGGTTGCAGAAGATCTGGATTCCACACAGCAGTGGCAGCAGCCGGCTACAGCGGAGGAGGGGCTGTAAGTGTGATTTGCTTTCATGGGCTTCAAGGTGGTGGTGGTAGAGTGGGTGTAGAAGAAGAGCAAAGGACATGCCCCTCCCCCACATCTACCCCCAACCCATCCTGAAAGTTGGACTAGATAAGCAGCTGAATGAAGTAACTGTAGAACAACAAAAGGATAATGTCAGAAAAGATAGAGAAAGAATAAGAGAAAGAGAGAGATGAAGGACAGAGAAAGAATGAGGATTAGGTAAAGACCATCTTAGAGGGATTTTTGACTAGGCACTTTTTTTCCTTTCTCATCCAGAGCTTATTTGAAATGCTTCCTGTTTGAAATTTGACATTGCTAGTTTGGAACTGTTCAGTGCTAGCCTAGAATGTTTCATTTTGGTGACCTCAATGAAGTGTCTGGAAATTGGTCCTGTCTGATAGTGCTTGGGTGAAATAAGGTAATGGTTCCTGGCATAATTTCTCAGGGAACAGGTGCTGGATACACAACAGTACCATGCCATTGGTCAGTTTTGCTCCTCCCTTTTCTCAAGCCTCTTCTAATAAGTCTATACCTGTCTGAGTTGGGAAAGTCTGGGTGTCCTGTCTTCTGCATTGCCTTCTTGGCACACATGGACACTTTTGCTACTCTGGGAATTTGAGAGAGAAAACAGCCTCTCAGGAAGAGCCTGCTGTGTAATATTCATTTTGAAAATTTAAGAAAACAGAGACAAAGGAGAAGCAAACAAAACTTGTAAATATTTTTTTTAAAACACTGAAGTATACCATTTCCCACAGATAACAGGGGACGGTTGTAGACCAAGGTGCTTCCAGCCCAAGGATTATGGCCTGAGGAACCATGAGGTGGGCAGAGATAAGACAGCTGTGGACTGTGGGACCCAGACATTTTGAGGTCCACCTGACCAAGCTCCCACTATGCTAACGCTAGAGGAAGTCCAGGCTCAGTGCTATTGGGAGGAGAGGTAGTTGCTTAGAGAATACAGGAAGATGTAGGATATTAAATATGGTGTATAGTATGCAAGATGTAGATGGAGGAAGAAGAGGGAGAGACAGAAAAAAAAACAGCCTCCTGTTCTCTTTCCTTCTCTCCACCAGCAGTTTCACTCACTCATCTAGAGATCTAGGAGCCTGGATGAGACTGAGAATTACATCCCACCGCCATCCAGTGAACCACTTTATTTCTTTCCAAGGGGCTGTTGGATTTAGTTGACAAGCAGGCAAGCCAGTCTCTGCATACCTGGGTCCTCCAGAGTTAGGACCTTTATATTTCCGTGAACTCTGTCTTTCAGGTTGCAGAAATAATACACATAAATCACCTAATATAGTCTCTGTCACATAGAGGGTGCAAAACAAATATGTGCTCACTTTAGTTCTGAGCCTCTCTTTCCTTAGCTGCAAAACAGAACTAATAACTATTTCTCACATTGTGTTGTTGGGATGATTCAGTGATTCAGAGGTCTGGATCCAGACTGCCTAGGTTTGAATCCCAGCTCTGCCACCTCCTGCCTCTGTGACTTTGGGCATGTCTCTTTACCTCCCTGTGCTTCCATTTCTTCATCTGTAAAAATAAGTGAATAATAGTGTTGTCGTGAAGATTAGAGAATAAAATATATAAAATGCTTAGAATGTCCAGCTCATAGTAAGTGCTCCATAAATGTTAATTATTATTTAAACAAGAAGGTGGGTGCGTGGTCTTTCTGCCCCTCATATCCTCAGCATCAAGCTCAGAACCTGGCACACAGCAGATGTTTAATGCTCTACTTCCACTCACTCTACTACTCACCATAGGCAAGCATGGGCTCTGTGTGTACAAGACAGTCGCTCATTAGTGATTGAATTATGTCAGACTGCAGACACAATAAACTTGGTGTTTGCCAAATCCTGCCCTGGAAAATGTCTGCCTCATCTCTCTTGCTGGAGAGTCTGTTTACCACTGAAAGATCTTAATCATCCTTTGCTTGGAGCATCCTCTCTAGACCTGCCTGGTTCCAAAAAGGGCAGTGGGTGAGGAGATGAACACAATCAATGATGTTGTTCTGAGAATTAAATGCATTAACGTGTGTAAAGTGCCTGAAAAGCTGTGTATGTCCATCTGGACTTTTTTCTCATTCAGTGTTATGTTTTGTGTGCCATCTATATTATTGTTGCATGTAGTTATATTGTTTATTCTCCTTGCTGTGTAGTACTACATTTTGTGAATACCTCATGGTTTATCCATCTGTTTTTTTTTTTTTTAAGATTTTGTTTATTTATTTGAGAGAGAGAGAGAGAGCAAGTGCATGAGAGAGGGAGAGATCATGGGGAGGGGGAGGGGCAGAGGGAGAAGCAGACACCCCACTGAGCAGGGAGCATGATGCAGGACTCCATCCCAGATCCCTGGGATCATGACCTGAGCCGAAGGCAGCCGCTTAACCGACTGAGCCACCCAGGCACCCCTTTCCATCTAACTGTTGATGCACATTTAGGTAGTTTCTAGTTTTTGGTTATGAACAATACTGCAGTAAAATTTTTTGTCTGCATAAATTTTGGAATTAGCTTTTCAAGTTACACACATACACACAGAATTCTGGGATTTTGATTGGAATTACATTCAATCTGTAGATCAATTTAAGATCAAATTAAGATCAATCTCTGTGACATTGTCTTCTGTAAACACAGTATGTCTCTCCATCTATTTAAAACCTTTTCATGTTATTCAAGTGAAGTTTATAATGTGAAGGGGCTTGCACATCATTATAAGAAATTCCTTTATTTCTTGTTGCTATTGTAAACAATACCTTTTTAGAAAATTACATTTTCTAGCAGTTTATTGGTAATGTATATGAATATAATTGTAGTTTTTGTATATTGCATTTGTAACTAGAAAACCTGATAAACTTTCTTATTAATTTTGATAATTTATATGTAAATGACAATTCTCTTTTTTCACCTCCCATCTTTATATTTTTGTATCTCTTTTTCTTATATTACTGCGCTCCTGGGACCACTCATCTCCAACAAAAACACACCATTTTAAGTACATTGTTGAATAGAAATGTTAATAGTGTGCATTGTTATGTTGATCCTAATTTTAAAGGGAATGTTCTTAAAGTTTCACCACTGAGTAAATTTGCAGTAGTTTTTTGTAGATTTCACTTAATAGGTTAAAGAAGTTCCAGGTGCCTGGGTGGCTCAGTTGGTTAAGCGTCTGCCTTCGGCTCCGGTCAGGATCTCAGGGTCCTGGGATTGAGTCCCACATCGGGGCTCCCTGCTCGGCAGGGAGTCTGCTTCTCCCTCTCCCTCTGCCTGCCTCTCCCCCTGCTCTTTCTCAATCTGTCTCTCTCTCTGTCAAATAATAAATAAAATCCCTCTAAAAAAAAAAAAAAAAAGAAAGTTCCAGTTTATTCTTAGTTTGCCAGTAGGATTTTTTAAATGAGTAAACTTTGAAATTTATTAAATGTATTTTCTCTATTTCTTGAGATGACATGTTAATTTTCTATTTTAATTTGTTAATGTGAATTACATTGGAGATATTTCTTATGTTGAACTAATCTTGCAGTCCTAGGATAAATAAAAACTGCTGGATTTAGTTCATTAATATTTTATTTAGGAATTTGGTATTTTGTTCATGAATGAGCTTGGTTCCTAATTTTACCATGGTTCTCGTGTTTCTCTATTTGATTTTAGTGGCATAAAATGAAGTGGGAATGATTTCCTTTCATTCTGTTTTCTGACAGAGGTTATATAAGGTGGCACGACTTCCAAATAAAAACATCTGAGCCTACTATCTTCTTTGTAAGAAAATTTTTAACTGATACAATCTTTTAAATAGTTATAGAATCATTCCAGTTTGCTATTTCTACTTGTTAATATTAAGTTATGGTTTTCTAGGAATTTTTCTATCTCAGATCACTTTTTAAATGTATTTGCTTGAAGTTCTTATATTCAGATTTTTAAATGTTGCATTTGCAGTTATGTCCTCTCTTTTGCTCTAATATTGTTTATTGGTATCTTCTCGTTTTCCTCTTGATCAGTCTTGCCAGAAGTTTGTCACTTTTATAAGTTTTTAAAAATAATCAACTTTTGGCTTTTTACATTTCTGTTATATCTTTGTTTTCTATTTAACTGTTTTTCTTACCATTATTCTATTTCTTTCACTTTCTTTTGATTTTTCTTTTTAACTTCTGCTCATTAATTTTCAGACTTTCCTGTTTTTGAGTATAAGCATCTGATGCTATAATTTACCTACTAAATAGAGGTGATAAAAAAATAGGACTGATACAAACAGCGAAAGACATGTATCATATGACCTCACTGATATGAGGAATTCTTAATCTCAGGAAACAAACTGAGGGTTGCTGGAGTGGGGGGTGGGGTGGGAGGGATGGGGTGACTGGGTGATAGACACTGGGGAGGGTGTGTGCTCTGGTAAGCGCTGTGAATTGTGCAAGACTGTTGAATCTCAGATCTGTACCTCTGAAACAAATAATGCAATATATGTTAAGAAAAAAAAAAGAAGGTAGCAGGAGGGGAAGAATGAAGGGGGGGAAATCGGAGGGGTAGATGAACCATGAGAGACGATGGACTCTGAAAAACAAACTGAGGGTTCTAGAGGGGAGGGGGGTGGGAGGATGGGTTAGCCTGGTGATGGGTATTGAGGAGGGCACGTTCTGCATGGAGCACTGGGTGTTATGCACAAACAATGAATCATGGAACACTACATCTAAAAGTAATGATGTAATGTATGGGGATTAACATAACAATAAAAATTTAAAAAAATAGAAAGTTATGTTTTTGGAAAAAAAATAGGACTGATATTCCTCAGATGCATAATTGTATGGACATAAGGATTTTCTTAAATATTTCCAGATTATTTGGTAAATAATCACTGTTCCCAGCTTTCTTAGTTTCCCCACCACTTACTCCTTGCCCTGGGCACCTCAGCCCTTTACTCAGGACTGTGGGGACCTATTAATCTCCATTTAGCAACTAAAGGGTTAATGCCTGACACAGCAGGAAGTCTCCAGGAAT